TTTCCCTGCTATAATTGAAACTTGGTTGCCGCTCCAGCTCCGAGGCCATGGCCTGCTGAAAGCAGGTATCTGGGGTTTGTTTAGCTTCTATAATTGCAACTTTGTTGCTTAAAGTGGAGCTCAGAGCCGGGACGCGGCAGGCGGGGAACCTTGGCTTCCTCCATCACTGGAGCAAGCAAGCCTCCTGCTCGATTCAGCAGCGTGGCTGTCGGCCGCCATCTTTGTTGGCGGTTAATTTGCATATCTTGCTGATTAGCCAGTGGGAAGTGTAGCGGAGGTATGGTTAATTTCAATCTTTGTCTATTATTAGATAGGATGAGACATGACAAAACTCAGATCATGCTAGTTATAGAAATGACCCAGAGTGGTATTTTTTGTCAGTGAAGACAAAGGCAGCCTTAAGACTGCCTTCCATCTACCTGCCCTTCCCTTTGGGAGAAAATTCAGCCTTAACTCAGATCCCATCCCCAACTGTCAACAGGACAATGTCCATATTGAGACTTCTTAAGAATGAGCCCTCCTAGTGCAGTGAGACCACACTATTGGACCAAAATGTTCATCAATGAATCTTTTGAATTGATTTATGACCAAATAAGGGAACTGTAAATGTAAAAGGGGTTCTATGGAATATAACCTAACAGGGTGATCTGATCATCAATTCATCACTGGGCAGGTCATGGCTGGTAGTCAGGCCCCAGGCATAAAACTTCTTTACTCAACAACTTATCTTTGCCTTAAACAAGCCCTGACCACTGTTTCTCTGCATGTGAGATAACACCTTTTGAAATGTCTCTTTACAGACCCCTTCTTCTGGAGAGCAAATGATTTATGCTGCAATTCAATCCCCAACTTGCTTTTTCTCACCTTTTCTAATCTTCCTTACTCCCCTCCTTAATTTCAAATGCATGAAAGAAACTGTAAAACTGTCATCTGCATTTGAGATCTTGCTTTCCAGCATGTGTCATCAGTTTGGCTCAAATAAACTCTTACCAAAAAAAAAACTTAATACTGTACATATTTTAAATATTTGTAAGCTGAAAATCAGTAACTATATATCACAGAACTAAATCTAATGGATAGTCAGACAACCAGATGCATCAAAACTTAAAGAAAAATCTAAAGAGCAAACCTTTAAAATAGTATTAAGTGCATACCCATTAAATCCAGTGACAATTTTCAGTATTCTTTCCTTCATTTCATCAAAGGGAATATATTCGACATTAGGGTTGGGTGGACCTCTTGGTTCAGGAGCTGAAGTTCTGAAATCATCCATCACTTTCTCCAGTTTGAAAGTAAAATAGCCTTTAAATTGGGACCACTGAATCCTGCAAGAAAAAAAATTAAAAAAATTTAATACCATGTAGCTTTACAATTCTTGAACACAAAGCACAAATACAGAATTTACCATCACTAATGCCACCAAAATGAAGATCTAATAAGCAGTAGAAGTAAAAATGTCTTTGTTCAGCAGTATGCTCCATGCCTGATCAATCTGGATCATAAGCTCCGACCTGGTTCCATCCATTTCTCCCAACTCTTGACCCAAATGAAATCTAATCTCTGATAAAAATTTTTTTTAAAATGAACTACCTCTGGCTGAAAGCCAATTATGTGCTACACCCTATTCTTAGCATTTATAACACTATTTTGTTTACATTCTCTGCCACATAGCAAATCTAACCAGGAAGGTTTAACCGTCCTATTTAAAATACATTATTAGATATTGGCCCAAGTTCATATTTATAATGTCAAGTGTACGAGTCAAAATGAAGCCATACCCTAAGCTATAATCCTATATAATAAAATCCTAGATGGCATTATGCCCTCACGCGATGTCACCACAAGATGGCCACCCTCATGTTGTCACAGATGGCTGCCACAAGATGGCTGGCAGGGAAGGGCAGTTGGGCGATTGGGCTGGCAGGGGAGGGCAGTTGGGCGATTGGGCTGGCAGGGGAGGGCAGTTGGGG